ATCTGAGGCCTGTGGGCAATGAGCTAGGACGGGGATGGAGGGGCTGCACAATGTGCCGTCAAGGATGTAGACCTCTCTTTTTCATCTCCCACTGCTCCAACTAGGGTGGGAGGGACAGAGCAAGAGGACAGGTGTGGGACAGCACCCCATGCCACTTTTACTGCAACCGCTGTGGGCTCAGCACCATCCCCCATGAGAGGCGAGAGAAGAAGGGCTTTGAATCAAAGGATTGGTGTTTTAATATAAACTGGGTCTGCATCCTACAAACCCCAGATGGCTCCTCCAGGCACCAAAAGTGGCTGCAAAACTATAAAATCGAGCCACATATTAAAATCCAACCATGTTATCATCAAGAGAGCTTCTGCCTGGCAGAAAAGGGGGTTAGCACTGTGGAGAATCTATGTTTGTACCCACTCCTTGAGCTTGTTTACCTGGCTACACCCCTTCTCTATCTGCTGCAACAGTCTGATGTTGGGAGGATACAGAGAGATTTCACTTTACACTCTCTCCCCCTCGGCAGGGCATACCTAGAAAAGTCTACAGCAAAACACTGATCCACCCAATCACATAAAAAATCTAAGGATAAGTGTTGTTTTTAAGGGAGTTCTTGCATGTTTCTGAGATAACAAAGGATGCAGAAGCTGTGTAACAGTCCGCTCTGGCCCCCTATGACTCGTCAGCATAGATTTTTATTGCTTCGTGTCAAATCAATTCTTTTCAGAAACACTTTGAAATACAAGAAAAAGATGTCATGGCGCCCCCTGCAGGACACTTGCAGCAATCAAGGGCAACGTTTAGGGGGCCGGCGGCCTCACTGTGTTTATGGGTTTGAGAACATTCCTGCACGGGCATTTAAAGTTCCTGTTGTTGAGGCTGGACGAGTAGATACCTCCCAGGAAAGTCGGCAAGGTTCACAGAGTGGGGGTCAGACCCTCCGGAGCACAGTTAACTGCCTGAGGTGATTTGGGGCAGGGCAGGGGGCTGCAGGGGTGCTCTGGGGCAGGGAGGCCACAGCAGTCCAAGGACAAGCCCGTCTTCTCCAGGTTCTGCTCTGTCAGCACCGCATGCCACCATACCCCTCCCCCACAGGGGTCCCAGGAAAACCACCCCCACCCCCACCAGGCCTTCTATGTTCATATCAGGATATTGCCCAGTGACAGTGTCCCCAAGGGCTGCAGGAAAACTACTCTAAATGATTTATTATACAAACGACCTCCAAAATGGACGTGGCTGGTGGAGGGTTTAGCCTCGGGTGTAATTTAAACCAACCAGCTTGACAGAGAGCACAGCCCTGTTCTGAGATCCCAGACGGCCTCTGCCTCCTGCCCTTTCCCAGCTCAGGCCTGATGGGAGAGAGGAGCCAGCCCATCACCCAGGGGGCCCTTGGCCAGAACAGCTGGGGCAGCTGCAGCCTCTTCCTTCAGCGAGATCACATCCAGGTCAGTCGCATTCCCTTGTCACAGTTACTGCTTCTAAAATATGTATAGATGGTTATAGATAAAGACACAGATATTGATGCAGATGCAGATACTGACGCAGATGCAGATACACATGCAGATGCAGACAGACTCAGATGCAGGTGTAGACGCAGATGAAGATATAGATACAGATGCAGACACAGATGTGGGTGTAGATACAGATGTACATGCAGACAGATATACATATATAGATGCAGGAGTTAACACTCAAAATACATAAAGAACTCATATGACTCAACACTCAACACCAAAGAAAACACATAACCAGATTAAAAAATGGGCAGAGGACATGAACAGACATTTTTCCAAAGAAGAAATACAAATGGTCAACAGGCACATGAAAAGTTGCTCCATATCGCTAGTCATCAGGAAAATGCAAGTCAAAACCACAATGAGATACGACCTCACCCCAGGTGGAATGACCCACTGTCCAAGACAAGAAATAACAAGTGTTGGCTAGGATGTGGAGAAAAGGGAACCTTTCTGCAGTGTTGGTGGGAATGCCAGTTGGTGGAGCCACTGATGAAAGCAATATGGAGGTTCCTCAAAAAATAAAAATAGAAATACCATTCAACCCAGTAGTTCCACTTCTAGGAATTTACCTGAAGAAAAAAAAAATCCCTGATTTGAAAAGATATACTTACCCTTATGTTTACCACATTATTTACAATAGCCAAGATATGGAAGCAACCTAAGTGTCCATCAATAGATAAATGGATAAAAAAGAGGTGGTATATATATATACAATTGAATATTACTCAGCCATAAAAAGAAAGATATCCTGACATTTGTGACAGTGTGGATGGGCCTAGAGGGTATTATGCTCAGTGAAATAAGCCAGGTGGAAAAAGACAAATACCATACGCTTCCTTTATTTGTGGAATCTAAAAACAAAACAAAATGAATAAAATAGCAGTAGACTCATACACATTGAGAAGTGATTTGCAGTTTTCATGGAGGAGGGGTTGGAATGGGTGGTTGGGGACGGGGAGGGGTAAAAGGGGCATAAAAATTCTCAATTGTAATATAGGTTGGTCATGAGGATGGTAGTACAGCATGGAGAATATAGTCAGTGATTCTGTGACATCTTTCTATGTTGACAGATAGTAACTGCACTAGTGGGGGTGAGGATTTAACCATGTGGGTACCTGGTGAAACACTGTGTTCTATACTTGAACCTAATGTAAGATTATCAACGATACTTCAACAAAACAAATAAATATATAGACAGATGCATGATCTCCAATCAATTCCTCCTCTCGTCCATGGTTTTCTTGTTTCCTACCTCTCTCTGCTCTGCATCCCCCTGTGCCTTCTGCCCACCTCCACCCACCTTTCTTTTTGCTCCTTCATCTGTCCCTTAGCTTGTGAAGGCCATAGGGACAGAGACCGTGCAGTTTTGCTTCTCTGTGTATCTACACAGGAGGTCCATTTGCTGAATGAATGAAAGAATGAACAATGAAAGATGATAGTAAAACAATGAAAGGCCAGTTAATGGCATTTCTCATAGCACTGCTAAATGAACACACAGTCCTCTCTTTCTGCCTCTTGAAGTGACCACAGTACAGGACCCCCACCTCTGGAAGGTGAAGGCTGGAGCAGGAGGGCTGGGGTCAGGGGAGGGAGCTTCCAGGGGCTAGGCAAAGCACATCTTTAGGTGTTTCCAGCTTAGGCCATGCACTTTAGAGGTGGGACAGGTTCTGCCCTGCCTGGGGCTCCTGCCCAACTCTAGGCTGCCCTCAGTCTCCCAGGAGCTGCACTGAATAAAGTGCTGAAGGGACGAGGCACTGCAGCCGTGGAACAGAATCTGCCACCATTTGATATTTGTCCTTTAAACTCTAATCTCAAATTGTAGATACAAATAAAATCAGAACAGATTATCCTCACTTTGCTTGGAGGTTTCACAGATCAAACTTGGACAGGAGGGAGACCAGAAGCCAATCTGGCCACTGCTCCTGCAGCCCACGTTGCCATTGTGCATTCACTGGGGAGCCCCCTGTACAGGGAGAGCTCCAGACCAGGCAACAGCTGTACCTTCTGGAGCACATGCCAGCTATTGCAAGAACTGAGAAATGCCCATGCTTTACTTTCCTCCCGAATAAGAGAGATGGCCTGTCTATCAGCCAGTCAGTCATTTGTGGGGACTTTCAAATTGGATGTTGTTTAAAACAGAAAAGTGGGAAAACTGAGATGGGAATCTATTTTCACACATGTGGGCTAGGATTAAATTACCAGCTATTGTCCATCCACCCTCAAGAAAGTATTTGGTATTGTTGATTTATTCCAACAAACAGATATTGAGAACCTAGGAAGAAGACCCAATGCTTTCTCAAGGCCCCAAGCCTCAGGAACATCTCAACAAACTTCTCAAGAATATCTGCACCCCATCACCTGCAGAGACAGGTGACAACACAGTAGTGCCAGGAACATCCTAAAAACCCCAAATCTTCATTTTAGAGGATCTCAACTTCTTCATAGGGGAGCAGCTCACCACCAAAGCCTGCCTGTCCACCTCTGCCCTGTCTTCTTCACCCCCTTATTCTTTCCCACTGGGTCCTAAATACAAAAGACCCCAAACCCAACACTGACCTCTGCCTGAGGGTGGGGTGGGGGAGAAAACACAGTCAGGCTTGGCTGTTGCTGTTGTTTAAGTCATGTAGTCAACCACAGTGGTGAGTGGGGAGACCAGAGCTTTGCCCCTTCACTTGGAGCCCTGGCCTTTTCCTCGCCCCTGTTTCAATCTGCCCAGTGTACAGATGGAGCAGCAGCGGGGCCCCAGCTCCCATGACAAAGCCCTGCCTGGACACACCCTGGTTGGCGTCACAAGCAGCACAATGTCGCAGGTGCGTGAGACAGGAACTACATAACCAGCCCAGGAATGGAGAAGTGTGCTGCTGGGTCCTTCAAGAGATTTCCCGCTGTCATTACCAAAATAGGAACTTAGACGTGAGCCTGAAATTCTTCACTGGGACATCTTAGAATACTTCACTTTCTGGCAACTTCAACCAATATGGTGTGAGTCACAATGAGTACAATTTTTTTGAAGGGGAATTTGTAAAGGTGCCACATGTCAACTTGGAAATTCTATTTCCAATAATTTATCCAAGGCAAATCATCAGATGAATGCACCATGTTCGCAAAAGTAACAAATTGGAAACAACTTAAACATCCAAAAATCAAGGATAGGTTAAATGAATTATAATATTTCTATCTAAAGGAATCCTATGAGCCATTCAAAATGATGTATGGTGACTACAGGTAATAATACTGTATTATGCATTTGTAAGTTTCTAAAAGAGTAGATCTTAAAAGTTCTCATGACGAGAAAACAATTTGTAATTGTGTAGTGACAGATGCTAACTAGACTCATTGTGGTGATCACTTCACAATATATACAAATATCAAATCATGATTTTGTATACCTGAAATGAATATAATGTTATATGTCAATTACACCTCAGTTTAAAAAAAGATGTAGTTCTATATTTATTAGCTTGTAATTATGTCCATAATGCATTGGTATGTTGATATATTAGTATTTTATTAGAGAACAAGTAGGTATGTATTGCAACATGAAATCTATGTTATAGGCTAATAAAAATTAGTTTTCAAAATAATTTCCTATTTTTATGAGTTTTTCCAATGAGCAAAGAGTCAGGAAAAGAAACAGCTGTTTATATTTTGAAAAGAAAACCAAATTCCTCCTCCCCAAGCTCCATCGTACTATTCAGAACACTTGTCTTTCTTTTGTCATAGGCAAATTTGCTCAAGTGTCAAAGAGTTTTTTAAAAAATCTTTTTAACCACTTTAATTTTCAAATTTATTTTAAAGAAAATGTCAAACATACATAAAAATAGAGAAAATATTTTGGATCCCGTGGACCTCCTCCACGGCCCTCTTAGCTCAACAATTCTCCTGGAGGTTTCCTCTTTCCCTGCACTGGATTATTTTAAGGCAAAGCTCAGACATTATAGGACTTCACCCATAAATGCCCCCAGCATACCCCTTCTAAAACACAAGGACTCTTTATCTTGCTACCATTATCATGCTAAAAAAAATTTAACAGTAATATTACAATATCATGAAACACATAATCAGTGATACATTTCCCTAGGGCTAATTCTTACAACTGCATTATGCTTGGGTGGGTTACCTACTCTCTTACATCTTTAATTTCTCCACTTTTAAAATGGAGAAAACATGGGGTCATTGGCAGTATTAAATGAGATAAGACACTTAATGAGATTAGCATAGACTCCGGCACATTGTAAATGTCCTTAACTAGTAGCATCAGATGTATTGTGATGTTATGCACTTTCTCATTCAATAAGCATTTGTATGAATTAGCCCTTATTTTGTAAATTTCCTGTTCATATCCTTTGGCCATTTTTTTAGTGGGCATCAAGGATATCAACTCTTATCTTTCACACTTTTGCCCACATTTTTGTAGTTTATTCTGTGCTTTTCCATTTTACTTATAATTATGTACTAAAATATGTCAATCCTTCCTCTTTTTTGTTCTGATCCAATATAATACATATTTTCTAGTGTCACATGTTTTCATGTTTTTTATTTAGTTTATATGAACTTTGAGAATCATTCTTTTAAATGAGCCCTGTAATTCATTCTTTCCTCAAAAGCCAAAAACATAATCACTATCTAAGTTCATGAGCTTCTATTTTCCTACAGAATCAGATTTTTTCTTAAGAAGAAACTACTCTAAAATTAACTCAGTTGTATTAAGTAATCTTGGGCTTACCATTTTCACAGTTACAGGAGCACCAGTTTTCCCCGGGGTTTAAACGTGCTTTTGACATATTGCATTTAATACTTACAATCTCCCTATCAAGGAGATACTATTCTCACTTGGATTCTGGCGATGGAGCCCTGTGGCTGATGGAACAGAGCGATTGGACACCTCGAACCGAGGTTCTGCACCTCGGAAGTCTCTAATACCACACCATGCCTCTCTTTTCTCATAGGCAAAATGCAGATCCTTAGCGCTCCTACCTCATATGTCTGATAACGAGTCAATACATGTGAAACGTAGAACATCTGAAATGTTGTAAGTTACCCATAAATATTAGCTATCATCATTATCATTAAGACAGCAGTAAAAACAATAAATGCAAAATAATTATTATAGTAAAAAATAACAGTATAGTAAAAACAATATTAATTCTTATTATGCAATACAATAATAATAGTAAGATCAAATGTATATTGAGGTCTTACTACGTATCAGCAGCATTTTACTTACTAGCTATCCTACAACGTAGCTACTGTTACTATCCCCTTTTTACACATGAAGAAACTGAGGCACAGTTTACAAGTTACCTAAAGGGTGATGACATCGTGTTTAGCAAGTGGATCCAATTAGTAGGTGGTGGCGTGTGACTCGAGTCCAGGTAGTCCGACGTCAGGGCCACCTTTTCGGAAGCCCAATGCATAGACCCTTGTCTTGTGGGTACATGAGAAATAGGACCTCCTGCTCCCCACTCACAGATGACCACAGTCTCAGGAATACGGTGACAAATTAGAAAATGTCGTTGTCTCAACCTTTCTCACAGCATGAGAAGAAAGATATTCCTGGCCTTAACCGTGGATACCCCTGCGCGCTCATCCAATAGATCCATTCTCTGCCTGGGTAGGTCTCAGCCTCCGGCCACCAGGTGGAAACCTGCTCCGCAAAGAGCAGAATGGACAGCATTGCCCAGTTCGCCAGCAGAGGGCACAATGCACCGCGAGAATCCCCTGACTCAATTTTTTTTTTTACCAAATTGAGGCATGAACTTAGGTCTCCTGTGTCTCCTGAGAGGGAATGCTTTTCTTTCTCAGGATTTTTTACCCACGGGGCTGCCTTCTTTTCCTCTTGATGTCATCCAAAAGCACAGGCAAGAAATTAAGTTAACTTAAAACTGCTGTTGAGAAGACTTCTGTGGCCCTGTGGTCATTTAATATAACAAATAAAGCCAATGACCCAGAACTTAGATAATAAAAGAAGAGCCAACATTCTTGATAGAGGCTTGTTGATTGAAGAAAGCAGAATACCAGGATGGATTGAGTGACCAGCAGCCAGGGAAAGACATAGCTATGTTTTTTCAAATTGCTTGGAAACACATAAGTTGGTCATTAAACAAGCTGGGGTGCTGTGACCCAAATTGTGAAAAATTGGATGAGAGTAGAACAAAACATAATAACATAAAACAGAATGCTTTTTCAGTCTCTGTGTAAGTGTGTATATGTATATTGAACGGCAGTGTAAACTGTATTTAGTCCTGCAGTTTGCAGTTTAAAACAGATAAAAGCCATTGGTAGTGGATGGCAGCATTTCAGTTAAAATCTGGGAGTCTAAGTTCTACACCCCTGGTCTGTCCTGCAGATGATTCATTCTGGGATGAGGAGAGAATGACAGTGTGAATTGGCCACATTTGCAGAACTGCAAGCTGCTCATATTTGATAGATACATTGAAAAATCATCCAGCACTTGCCAAGCCTCACTCCTTACCATTTCTTTTTATTTTCCAGAAAGATGCTGTGGTGGTGCAAGTGGTGATGGCTGGGGAGAGGGTGAGCAGATCCTGCTGACAACAACAAAGAGGAGGGAGGGAAGTAAGGAGAAATGAGGGCCAGAGGGGCTGGCAGGACACCAACAGCATTACAGTGAAAACTTCTGGTCTCCAAGGTTCTCCAGATCAGTTAAGGGACAACCTGAAAAAAATTTAAAAAACAGTAGATCTCAGTGATTCCAAACAGGAAATAATACATCCACTGAGTCAGAGAAAAAAATAACTTCACATCAGTCTCACATTTTTCTATAACTGTGATCACAGTCTTGGTTTTGCCCAATTTTTCAGTTGACACCACCACCGGGTAGTGTAGTGAAGGTATACATATTTAAATGACGACAAACTGGTTACTTGACTGTAATAAAAACAGGTTTCCATTTCCTAGACTGATAAAAATTTTTGTCATTTTTGCATGAGTGCTAAACAAATAAAACTATGATTTATATGTCAAAGTTAAGACTGAAATCTACCTTGTGGACTTCTGATATTTGCAAGAGTTGCAACTCAATATTTCACGGCAGACAGAAAGGGAAAGGAACACCCTCTATGCAGGCACAGTCTTCTGTGTAGGATTCAACCTGCCACAGCCCACAGTGACACCCCCACAGCTCTCCATGACTGAGCTCACCTTTGTGTCCATAATCCCAACCCACAACTCACCCTGAAGCAAAAAAAAAAAAAATGTGGCATATAGAAGAGGCAGAATAAAACACAGAATGCTCCAGAAAACATTTTAGGGCAGCGTTTCAGCTGGCTATGAGAGTAGATTCCTACCTGCCTTGATCTCATTCCAGGCCTTAAATAGAAAGGAGGTGTTTTCTCCTCTTCTGAGGTGGGAAGAGATGGCTGAGCAGACTCCAGAAGTAGAAAAGGAAACCCTTGTCTTAGAGTCAAAATAACCTGATGTATATCCCTGTGGATTTATTCTCTTTTGTATCCTTTCTCCTCCCATAAAGCCTTTTTGGTCCTTGCAGATGTCAGCTGTGCTCCTAGGAATTAGTCAAGGATGGTTAGGCCAGAGCATCAAAGGTAGGCAGTGGCCACTGTCATTAATGAGAGCTCCGGGGAAAGGTGACTCTGCAGGACAATGGCCAGAGCCATAAGGTTCAGTTTTCCATTCCCAACTGGAAAATCTCTCTGTTTGGAGGACTAGCAGTTAACTTTATTAAGGTGATTGGCAGCATCTCTTAAGACACCACCTGGGTATGTGAGCATGGGAGCAGGGAGGGGATGTGTGCATAGGGAGTTCCCACCTCAAGGGCCCTAGAAGAAGTCCACCTGAGATCTGTGACTTCCGGCAGTTCGAACCAATGTTCTATGGCTCTGAGAGCCAGGGTCACCCCCAGGCACTAATTCCAGAGGTCATGGATTTCTCATCTATAGACTAGTCTCTATTGTAAGAAGGAAACAAGGGAGGAATTTTCCATTTTCCTAATTTTCCAGACACAGCCTTGCCTAAATGTGCCAAACAAGCGTACATTGGAGGAAAGTTTATAAATATGGAGCAGGACTGAAAGCTGAAGGAAGGTCACCTGGTTGGGACACAGCAGAAAGCCCTCTGAGTTTCTGCAGGCTCCTGGCAGGGGTGGAAGGCATGGAGGGGCTCCGGCCCCCACCCAGCTCCCGGCAGCACTGCAGAGCAGGCCGAGCACTTGGATGTGTGTGTTTTCATCTCAGATGGTTTTCTGGGGAAAGATGAGACCTTCCTGGGCGCTTTATTTGATGTGACTACCTTCAGCTGGCACTTTCTCATGGGCAGACTCGTAGTATTTGAGCGCAGACCAAAGGAAGTGGTGTGTGGCTGACAGTCCTTCCAGGAAGGTGAGCTGAAAGGTAGTTGAGAGGCTCCTCACCTGTATTTCAGCTTTTCTCTCTTCCCCTACCTCCAGGTCAGTCCTTGGCCCCTCAGGTCATAACTGGGCCCACCCCCAAGATCTGGTGATAAGGCCTCCATTACCACACCCAACCCATTTGGTGAAACAGGAGAGAGCTGATTAGTGGTGGCCTTTGGCTTTCATATAACCTGCCTTTCTGTCCATTATCCATTGAAACCCAAGTCTTTCTTAGGCAAATTTGGACATGAGCCCAGCAGCTGACAAAAGAATACTTTTGAGCCCTTAACTACTAATGCACATTTCAGGGACAAAGCCAGGCTAATTTGATTATTTGTATTTTTGCCACATTATATCCCTTTATTTCATTAAAACTAGTAGAAATGTAAAATGAAAGTGCCAAAACTATCAGTAAAGTAACTGAGAATGAGATGGGAATCACTGAGTATTCAAAATGGCAAATGAAGCACACCTCTTGATCTTAGCAGCTTAACCATGTTGTTGAATTAAAATATTAAAGAACATGTACAAAATAGTGGTAATGCACATTCTGAGAACTGCATCGTGGATAAAACTGAGAAACCTCGGTGGTTAGGGGAAGATTTCCAGCACCTTTCCCCTCAAATCTCTATTAAGAATCAACCCTTTCTCTGCCATGAGTAATGAATGGTTGCTCCCTCTTAGGCAAAGGGTTTTTATACAAAAGCTACTCTAAACCCCTCTCCCCCAACCACCCCTCACAAACCAAAGGGTGCCTCTGATGCCCTGCTCCAGAAATTCCAGAAGGCCGCGAGGGAGGCAGCATCTTCATGGGGAATTGTCAAGTCTCATTTCGGGAGTGCTGGGATGAGATAGATGGCAAGACGTGAATAACCTCCAGTGCCTTACTGGGTTGCTTGGAATCATAGCTGCCAAGTGTTGAAGAGAGTTGGGAGGTGGTAGGATGGGCTGGAGGCTGGAGGAGGGTGACACAGTGCTGTACTCCGGAGGCCCGGAGAGTGATGGCACCTTCAACTGCATCTTCCCATTTCAGTGGCTTCCTTCAGCTCCTGAAATCACTCCGAAGCCTTAACTGTATACTTCTAGAAGTCAGGTTCCATATGTTAGTTCCAACCAGTGTTTGGTGTCACAGGACTAAATGGATCAGAAAAAGTTGCTGTGGTGTAAGAGTCATAGCACAGACACCAAGGACCCTGTCCTGGCTCTGCCATGAACTACTGTGTCTCTAGTTCAGTCCGTTCACCTCTCTCAGCCTCACTTTCCCCCATGGTAAAATGGGACAGACACCTGGACTAGAACCAGTGTTTCCCAATCTTTTCCACATCATGGCAGACACAGAAACAGCCCTGGAGTGAACAGATAAGGCCCACAAAAAATAGCTCAGGAATAAACCTCCGCAGAGACTTGTGACTTATTTGTGGTAGAGCAGTAGGGAGCTCTGGGCTAATGATGGAAAATTCCACGAACCTTTCTAGTCTGTATTACTTCCCAGATGGTTTTTAGGAAGACCCTGAATGACTCACTTACCCAGCATGGTCATCACTGGACCTCTACATAGAATCTTACAAAATTCTGAGATCACATCCCATAAATATAGAAACAAAAGACCTTCTAACCTTCCTTAGAGCCTATGGACCTTTTTAAAGTCCCTTTGATGAGCCTGAAAAATTCTGTCAGCCTCAAATGGCAGCCAAAAGTTGGGGTGTAAGTACATTTTTTCTAGGAAAATATCTCCATCTTTCCTCAAATTATCAAAAAGGGCCACTATTTAAAAGGACAGGATTTACTGCTATAAGACAAGCCTTATCCATCTTCTAAAATATGGATCTATTTTAAAAATCCCGAATCAAAGCCCAGAGTCTGACAACAGGAGTGTATATTCAAATACACTCAGTGAGGATCACTGAGAATACAGCACAGTGTCCGAACATGTGAAGCACAATTAAATTATTTTTAAAGAGCAAATACTAAAAAGATAAAGAGTGGCCTGATGTCAACTCAGGACCTGATTATGATAAACAGATGTGTAATGCCAGGTCACCTTGGAACATAAATTTGAAAAGACCAGAGAGGGCTCCTCCTCACTTAAGAACCCACCAGACCCTCACACCACCTGTGGACTGTCTGCTCCTCCCTCCACACCAGGGCGACTGCTCTCCAGCTCGGTCCCGGTGTCCCTCCCCTAGGCCTCGCTCACATTTCCATCCTGCCCACTGGCCGAACCCCTTCCAGCCCTGACTGGCTTCTTCAGTCTATTTATGCTGTAAAGAAAAAAATACTACAGTCTTGAGGGGTTGTGAACAATAGAAATTTATTTCTCCCACTCCTGGAAGCTGGACATCTGAGATCAGGGTGCCAGCATGGTGGAATGAGGGCCCTCTTCCAGGCTGCAGACCTCTCCCCATGTCCTCACGTGGCAGGAGGGGCAGGCAGCTCTCTGGGGTCTCTTTTGTAAGAACACTCATCCCATTTGTGAGGGCTCCTTCCTCATGGCCCCCCCTAACACCTTCACATTGGGCATTAGGGCTCCAACATGTGAACTTTGGGGGATGCGAGCAGGCCACTGTTTAAGGTTGGGCATGGTGACCACAGAATGAGAGAGTTCTACTGTGTATCTAAGCTCCTTAAGTCAGGATCTTCGAAAGTCAAGATAGTCTACAGCTAATTTTTAGTATCAAACATCTTTGTGACTGTTACCTCCTAAACTGATGTAGCTAACTGACAGATTACTTTGTTTTACGTGGACTAGAATTCCACCATCTCAGTGTGGTGACTCTTCTCTCACATGTTGCTCAGAATCCTGGCTGACAAAGGCCACCTGGAAAAATAAGTGAATTATTACTTATTTTGATTTGACAGGCCAAGTCTTTCAAAACCTGGGGCCCCCCAGGAGGGTGACTAATTGTGCCACAGTTGGTGTCCACTGATGAGGATGACCTCTAAGGTGCTTCCAGTATCAACGCCCTAAGACTGTGGCCACAGCCATCTGTTTGCACTAGAGGAAAGGGGCTCACAGACACAGCAAATAGGACCAGGGCCCTGTGGACACTGGCCAGGCATGCAAACATTGCCATTACCTTTGCCAGCCCTCCCCAAGCCCACAGACTGCCCGCCAGCCATCTGCTGACCACCCAGTCTCCCATACCATGGGTGCCATGCCATGTGACCAAACATCCCAACATCTGAAGCTGTCACTCTACAGCCCTCCATCTCCCCCTCCCCAGGGGCCCAAATGTTAAATCTACTCCATGTTCAGCAATCATTCAGAGCCAATAGGTTAAAGAGGGTTTTCTAGAGAGGTGATGTCGTTCCCTAAAAAAATAATTCTGATCAAAACAAGCAAACACAGGCCCATTGGCAACCAGCACACATGGGCAACTTCAGGTGGGTGGCCCAAACACAGTGCATCCTTGTCTGGCGGTGAGCCGCCCATGACAACAAACTCTCCAGCACAGGGTGACGACCCCCGAGTTGGCCTCCTACTTGCCAGCCAGGAGGTCACAGGGCACGTGCTTCAGCAGCTGGACAGCAGGCAGTGGGCGCCTTCTGGGAGGCATGTGGTATCTCACTTTCTTCCAGAACTTGGTCTTTGCGCACTGTGACCTCTCTGTGAAGTCCCCACTCCACTGGACAGCCCCGTGCTTCTGTCTGATGTACTGAATTGACTCCGGCATGGCTGTATAGTCCTTGACTTTCTCCAGTTCGATCAGAATGACCTTCATCCCGTCCTGGATGAGAGCATTGTACACTGCGATTTGTTGTTCTGACATGTTCTTTAACAGGTCGAAACTCGAGGATGTGGGACTTATGATGATGATCAGTCTCCTACACAGCCTAATGTTTTCATCAATGACGTTGGCCACAGCTGAAAATAAAGGCAATGTAGAAGAATAGTTCTTAAAATAGATAAACTTGGTCTATGGATAAAACTTGGTCCTTCTTAGAAATGAAGACCAAATTCTATATCCCCTTCATTCTTAGGATGTAAGACTAGACTGTAACCTTCCCAGGAGCAGGTTCTTGTCTTTGGTTTATTTTCATGTTTCTGGTGCCTAGAACACTACCTGACACATAGGGGGTGCTCAATAAACAACTGTGGAGTAAGTGGAAGAATGATATTCATGTGCTTATGAAATGAGAGCTCTTCCATGTGTTTATGACAAGCACTGGATCAAATTTTCACTTCCTCATGTAGGATTATTTCTTAACATGAAAAGTTCTGAGCCAAGATAGAGTTGTTGTCTCACTACAGATAGGAACAGCCTTCAAATCCAAAGTATTTAGACACCTTGTTAAATGACCCAGAATAGGCCACTAACAAATGCTACAATGTAATAATTTTGGTTTCCTGGTGACTAGAAAATATGTTTTTTTCAAATTTCAGTCCTCTATGATACAGCCTTCAAAGAAGAAGAACATGAATTAGAAGGAAGCTTTCATTTATTGACTGTCTAATATATACTAAGCTCCATACAGGTCCCTGCTCAGGTTTTAACTATACTTAATTCCTCAGCTGAGTCAGGGAAGCATTTTTATCCCCATTTGACAGATGAGACAACTGAGAAGTTAATTGCACTGCCCAAAGCTACAGTCCTATTAAATGGGAGAAGTAAATAAATAACTTCCATCTCATGTAGGTAGGGGAAGATTGGGGATTAGTTGTGGGGGGAGGGTATAAAATCAGCTTTAAACATGAGCTAATATATATATCCAAAATGACAGAAAACACTCAGCAGTTAGCCTCAAGGATGTAATGGCAAATGACTGCTTGGCTCCTTGCAGTATCTTGCCCAAGGTTGTATTATCAACCACCTATTCATATGAATGGGTTAACCATGTCCTTACTCGAACTGAAAACCATGCTATTTTAACCAGGAATTCCACTTATCCTCTTGCAGGAAGGAGCCCAAGAAGAGAAGAAAGCTTGGTCTACACTCCTTGGCTCTGGTGCACAGGCTTCAGAGGTGAAAGACTCCATGTGGTGCTGTGGTCGGAAAGCAAGCCAAGTCCCTACCGTTTGTGAAGTGAAGTTGTTGTTTTTATAACTCATTTAAAACATACCTTGTCCAGGAAATTCATCCCTGCCAAATATAAATAACTTATATCCACATTGTCTCTCCAGCACCTCGGGCAGAATCTTCAACACCAGTGTCTCCACGTCATGGCTCTGGACATCTCTGTGAGGCTTGGGGTATAAGACATATGCATCATATAGCTTCCCATCTGAAAAGGAAATGGGACAGCTCACAGACTGACTCCTACCAAATTCTCTTACATTAATGAAGTGAGAATCTGAGATGTTACCATGAGGTGCTTCTACTTGGGTTCAACGACTTTAGAGTGCCCAGTTGGCTGGCGTGGTGCCCAGCCCTGCCACACCAGGCATCCCATTCTTCCAACACTTTAAATACTCCACTCTGCTCTCTTCCTGCATGCATGGTTTCTGGGGAAAAGTTGAATATAATTCATACCTTTATTTCTCTATACATCAGGTGTTTTTTTCTCTGGCTTGTTTCAGGATTTTTTCCCCCTAATCTTTGATCTTCTATAGTTGAAAATGATTTTCTGTAGGTGTTGTTTTTTGTTTATATGCTTTGGTTTTGGTATTTATCCTATTTGGTGTTCTCTGAGCTTCCTGGATCTGTGGGTTTGTGTCTGACATTAATCTGGGAGAAATTCCCAGTTGTTAAGTGGTTCAGTATTTCTGTTCCTTTGCCTCTTTCTCTCCTTCTGGTATTTACCTTACACATACGTTACACCTTGTGTAGTTGCCCAGCAGTTATTGGAAGGTTTGTTCTGTTTTTTCCTTTTCAAACTTTGTTCCCTTTGTTTTTTGGTTTGGAAGGTTTCTATTGACATATTCTTAAGCTCATAAATTCTCTCCTCAGGCATATCTAGTCTATTAAGAAGCCCATCAAAGACATTCTTCATTTTTTGTTAGTTTTTTTTTCAATTGTTAACATTTCTTTTTGGTTCTTTCTTAGGATTTTCATCTCTCTGCTTACACTGCCCATCTGTTCTTGCATGCTACTTTGGCATTAGAGCCCTTAGCATATTAATCACAGTTTAGATTTCCAGTCTAATAATTCCAACATTTCTGCCCTCTCTGCTTCTGATGTTTGCTCTGCCTCTTCAAATTGTGTTTTTTGCCTTTTATTATGCCTTATAATTTTTCCTGATATCCGACTATGATGTTCCAGGTAAAAGGAACTGCCGTAAATAAGTCCTTAGTATTGTGGTGACGTGTGGGAAGGGGGGAAAACTTCTATAGCCCTATGATTTTGTCAGTCATTTAGTGAGCCTATGTTTCTGGACAATGACTTCACAAGTGTTTCTCAGCTTTTTCTCTCCCCATGGGCAGGCAGGATGGCTAGGGTGGGCTAGAGTTAGGTATTTCCCTTCCTCCAGGCCAGTCAGGCTCTGACAAAGCCCTAACAGGCAAGGCTCTGGTTAGCTAGTTCATCCTGGGGACATGCCTCATTAAGAACAGAGTGCTCCAGCATATTTTAGAATGGCTTTTTTTCCCTCCACTTGCTGGAAGCACAAGGAGATTTTTCTCTGATATTTACTGTCAGAACCTGGTCAGGCTCCTGGAGGTAAAACTCACAAAAGTGTGGGTTTTGATCCCTTAGGACTGTCCTGCTGAAGATCTTAAGTCTCAGATCTGTCCACACTGAGCCTCCAGCAATTTGTCAATTTTTCTACCCCATTGACATCTCTTTCTCATAAATTGGCCTTTGAGGGAGATGGTCTTATGGTCTTATCCTTATTACACAAGAATGAATCTGAGACTAGAAAGACTGCATCATTTCTCCAAGGTCACACACAGCCCCAACTCCAACCCAAGTCTCTCAGCTCTATGCCGGCCACTCCTTGTGGTGTGGCTCAAAATGAAAATGGAAAACAGGAGCCTCCATCACCATGACCCTTGACAGGTTCTCTGCCACAGAGGGCTGTCCTAAGTGCACCAGGAAAAATGGGTGGAATCTCTTGGAATTTAGACCCACCAGCGCATTCCCTCATTACAGTTGCACACCGCATCATAGAGAAACCAAGTACTGAGCCGACTCTAGGACTCTGCCGTGAGGTACTGGGAAGTCAAACACAACAGCACACGTCATCATCAACAGAGTGAGCAAGCACTGACCGAGCAATACAAGTAACAGTCACCATGCTTGCCAGTGTGCAGAGGAACAAGTCACAAGATCTAACTGGGATGCCATTCGTTGACTTAGAAATAAAAGCAACACAAGGCACTATAAGATAATGAATGGATAAAAGGATGGAAGAGACAGAAAGAAAGGAAAATCCCCCTCAGTCTGGAGCTCTAGGACAAAAATTCACAAAGGACATTGGGCAGCTTCTGGATTTGAAGTGGTAGGGAGGGTTTAGGAATAAATGAAAGGCAGGAAGGGAGGGTAAACAGGCCATTGAAGGGGAGTGGCTTTGAAGGGCCTGAAATTTATGCCCTACTCAAGGGTTATACGAATGAGGGCTGGAAGGTTTGTGGGCACCTCATTGGAAAATGTGTTTTTCAAGCTCTAGCCTATTTGGAAATTCAAAGCAAAACTAAGGGGAACTGGAGAGGGGAGCTATCCATTTTTATTCCCTTTTCCTGGAGGTTTGTTTGATGAACAGACTTGAAGAAAAGCAAAAGCAGGCAAAATCTTGTAGTCTCTCCTATTTGTTTTGTCTAAATAATAGTACAGATGGTCCCTGACTTAGAATGGTTTGTTTGACTTATGATTCTTGACTTTACAAAGGTGTGAGCAATATATACACTTTCAATAGAAACCATACTTCAAATTGTGAATTTGGACCTTTTCCTAGGCTAGTGCTGTGCAGCGGAGAGGCTGGTGATTCTGGCCAGCACCAAGATGCTGCTCCCGATTGGCTGCCTGACCCTGAGGGTGAACAGCCCACATGCTTACATCCATCCTGTACCCATACAACCATTCCGTTTTTTACTCTCAGTACAGTATTCAATAAATTAAGTGGGATATTACACACTTAATTATAAAATAGGCCTTGTGTGAGATGATTGTGCACAACTGTAGGCTGATGGGAGTTTAAGCATATTGAAGACAGACCAGGCTAAGCTACACTATTTGGTAGGTTAGGTGCATTAAATGCATTTTTGACTTAATGGTATTTCCCATTTATGATGGGTTTGTCAGGATGTAACCCCATTATAAGTGGAGGAAGATCTATAGTTAAAATGTGTACAGAACTTGGGTGTCTACATGCAGCTTTTTCTCATTCTATAGATTCTCACACCACCCACAGCCAACCTTCAGTTCTCTGCTCATCATTCCTGCGTATCCTATGGAAAAGGGTAACACACGCATGCACACACACTCACGTATGCACACACATGCACACTCTCTGTCAGTCTCCCCACCCCCTATCATGACCGGGAGCAGTGTGAGACTGGGGGTTTGTTTAGCTCCCACTCGACCCCCAGCACCCAGAACAGGACCCAGTGAAGAGGACGTCTCCATCACTACTTGCCGAATGTCCGCATGGGGCTTGATTTTACAGAGGCTCAAAGAGATTGTATCTATGTGGGGTGATAGAGAAATTCTAGATCATGAGCAGCTTTTAGGAAATTAGAGTCATAGGGCAGGTACTAGTGAGAGGATCAGTTTGTCTAGAGTTGGCAAAAACCCACCCAGCTAACACTCCTTGTAGAATGCCTTACATGTCACTTGTCAGGACCACCACTCCATAGGTGAGTATTTTTCTAGGTAAAATTTAATGTCATACATTTAACTTTCTAAAGTCAGAGAATTTTTGTATATGTATATATACATACTGGGGAAAAAAGATTTCACAAAATCCTTACATTTCTAAACCTTTTAGAAAGGAATAATTTTTTTTCTATTAAAAAATATGACAGCATATGCCCTCTTATGATAAAGGGTTGGTTGGGTTCATCCTCTATTTACTACATAGTGGAGCCTCCCCAGGAAATGCGGTATTTCCTGGGCTCTGAACTACAGCCAACTCTGTCCCAGGTGGTGCCCCTGCTGTCTCTCTTCTCTCAGTCTGTTTTTCTTTTTTCCCTCTGATGAAAAGAAAGAAAGAAGAGAAAAGACAACAGAAAACCATTTTTGCTAAGCCACCTCTCTCTTTTGACAGTGTCCCCGGCTCCATGTTTTTAAGCAAGTATCTGAGGGCACAGCCACTCCTTCCTGAGCAAGATGCAGACCCAGGGACAGGAGAGATTTGGGTAGCAAGAGAATCTCATACCTTTGAAAAACTCAAAATATAAAAATGTTCCCAATTTTTTATCTCTCTTTTTCTTTCTAAGTTTTTGAGTTGAACTGTATCTCCCTGGCTTGTTCTCAAGATGCAGTGAGTTCTTGTCACTTTCAAATGACAAGTTCGTAATTTACTGATCAGTATAGCAGAAGATCAAGCAGTAGCCATCTGGCTTTGCTTCCACCCGCTGGTTTTGAAGGACCCTCTCAGGCAACCGCACGCCCACACTTCATGGCTTTGCCGCTCACAGTTAACTGTGAGGGTCGCATTTGTACCCTTGGATTTCCATAGTTGGAACCTCAAGGCTGCATGGTTTCTCCTGGCTCCCAGCTGGCAAGGGCACCATCTCCATTCAAAGCCAAGTCTACCACTCCTTTGGGGTGGCTCAGTAGACAACTGGAAGCTGGAAATTTCACAAAGCTTTTCCCTGATTAGTCTTGTGCAACTATGACGAGTTATATTTTCAAAAATTAGCTCAAGTAATTCTTCTGGTCACACGTGCTCTTGAGAGCTTTCCCATGCCTCTCCAAAGAGGGGGAATCTATTCCCACATCCTTAAAATCGAGTAGGACTCTGCAGCTGCCCTGACAAATAGAATGTGATAGAATTGATACTAGAGATTCAGCATCTGAGACATGAGAGAAAATAATGGCCTTTACTCAGCTGTCTTGCTCTTGAAACACTAGCCCTCGAAATCTAGTCACCATTCTGTGAGGAAGCCCAAAGAGGCCCACACAGAAAGACTGCCCTTGGTAGAGGAGCTGGGGCCACCAGACAATGGCCAAAATCAACTGCCAGTCTTCCAGCAGAGACACCAGACATCACACACCTGAGACAGGCCATCCTCACCAAGGCCGTCTTACACCCTGACCCACAGATTCTATAAGCAAAATAAACAGTTGCTCCATGCTGTGAAGTTTTAAGGTAATTTGTGTCCCAGCCAGAGTAGCTAGAAGAGCAGTTGAGGAAATAACAATGCATAGCAACAAATAATGATGAGTTGCACACCCCCACCTGTTTATTTCATTTTAAAAAATGCAGAAAAGTAGACCTACTTTTGGGTTTTCTGAGAGAGCTGCCCTGTGGGCATACTAACACAAACGTATCCAGCTCAGCTCCTCTTATTTTCTAAGGAGATTCAAACCCACATTTGATGTTAAAGCATCTGCACAGGACTTTATCAGCTATTGGCAAAAATACTGTTTATTTGCATAAATTAACATCATGAAGGATTGACTGAAGATTATTCAATTCTGTACTTTCTCTCCATATTGCTATTGCTGAATTTTCAACCTGATCAAACAGGACCAGTGGAACAATCAGACAGAATCAATCTGGCCTTCGTTGTAAGAGCTTTTACTGAATCACATGAAATTTGTTCACCATGCCCATTAATAATTATATTAATAGTTATAAATAATTATAAATAAATGTATAATTAGATGCATGTAACAGATTTCCATTTTATCAGTCACTGACAGGCCTGGCTACCAGTTCTGCATATTCCCTATGAAACTACAGGAGATACTTTTGAAATTCTCCTTCCAGGTGTGCATGTGTGTACAGAACTATAAGGATCAGTTTAGAAATCTACTAAAGAGATTTGCATATACCTCATCTTGCTCCAGATTGCTTCATGGAGAATGTACTTGTAGAACAGAATGATTAAAAACAACAAGAAAGTAGGCACAGTGAAGGAAAGAAAACAAGTGTAGAACGGTAAAATAAAGCCTTTAAAACTGAGGACTCTACAAAAATTTTCCTTGGAAAACTGTCCCAGAGAAAGTCATGTGTGCCCACGAGCAACTGAAAGGCTTCTGTGAATGGTCAGCAATGAATCTTGCCATTACTTTTGCCTTCATTTCTAAAGCAAGCTCCTCGTCCTTAACAACAGTCCCAGATGCGTCATTAGCCCCACTCCCGGATTTATTTCACCATTCTACACTTGTTTTCTTTCCTTCTCTGTGTCTACTTTGTTGTTGTTTTTAATCGTTCTGTTCTACAAGTACATTCTCCATGAAGCAATCTGGAGCAAGATGAGGCATATGCAAATCTCTTTAGTAGATTTGTAAACTGATCCTTATAGTTACGCACACACACACCTGGAAGGAAAATTTTTAAAGTACCTCCTATAGTTTAATAGGGAATAGGCAGAACTCGGAGCCAGGCCTGTCAGTGACTCATAAAACTGTGGGTTGTACACATCTAACTATCAATCATGGTGTAAAGCTTAACTAATCAAGTTGGAATAAATAATTTATCCTAAGAGGGACTAATTCCTCTACTTCCTCATTTGTATCTACCACCCATTGCTCCACATGTTTCCAAATAACTCAGAAAATATCCTTAAGAGACATAAACTGGCAAGAGCATCTGGGACTAATTTTAGAGTCCCATCACTAGCTCACTGCTAAAGCCAGCCCTCAAAGGGGAATTACGGGATAGTTCTCATAGGTTGAGCTGTAGAAAATTCAATCATGAAGTGCACATGTACTCCCCCGAATTAAAACAGAAAGAGAGAACCCCTGGCTGACTGCCAGCTCCGATGTCCAAATCCCCAGCCCAGCCTCAGCAGAGGGTGGGGCTCCCTGACTCTGGTCTGCTCAATTGATCCTGCTCAGTGTGAGTCACTGTGCCTTTTTTCTCTTCCTGCTAAACTGGGCCTTACTAACAGGCAGCTTCACTGGGGCACTCAGCACTCACGCTCTGGGAGTCCCAGTGAATCGGGAGTTACCCTCACTGAAGTCAGTGCTGTCCCGTCATCCATCAACAGAAAGCAGCCTTGCCACTCACATCACTGCGTCAGAAAGACACACGGTCATGCACTGAAGTCTCTGATCACACAGACGAGGCCGGAGCAGGGTCCCAGGCAGGCTAGGCATGCTGCACTTGCAGGGACTACAGCCCCGAATAGAAACCCCACGTCTGAGCTGATCATCGGCAGCACTAGAAGAGCTTCAAACTGCATTACACGTGCAAAGCCAGATTTCCATGGTGGAATTTATCATCAAAAAAAGAATTCCTTGCTTTCTGCATTGCTTAAAAGCTGCCGATTCTGTTTTTTTCCTTAATTTATATTTTGTATTGAAGTATAGATGATAGGCAATACTATATTGGTTTCAAGTATACAGTCTAGTGATTTGACAGTTACCTACATTATTAAGTGCTCACGCCAACTAGTGTAGTTGCTGTCAATGTAGAACTATTGACTATATTCTCTATGCTACACTTTCATCCCCATGACTAATTTATATTATGATTCAAGTTTTGTAAGGCTGCCAATTTTAAATTCGGAATTGCTTAGAATAAGATCCATGTTAGGACACTGATGTTTTACCAAACATGTGGACAACAATGTGTACCATGTTTTTTATATGCAAAGCAGACACTTAGCATAAATAATGCCCTTCTCTGTAACAGAAACTCCTAAATCATGCTTGGACACCCGTTTCACCCCACATTCCTGCTCTTGTGCACATCACAAGTCTCTGAATTTGAAAGGTAAATCTGTGCATCTCTATGCATGTGAACTGCTCCTGCTGCTTAGCAAATATTTACTCCACCACTGGTAGCCAGCCACCTTACTGGACTGAACAATGCTGGTGTCCAGGTACAAATCACTTCTCTGAAGTATGACAAGTTCCCGGAAGACTCCTTTCCCTAAATTTGCTAACAACATGAAAAGCAAGCCAGTAAAATGTGGTAAAGAATACCTACAATGGTTATACAGATTCACAGATACTAAGTATGAGGCATTTTTCAGTAGTTATCCACACTTACCTTTGAGGGTCCCAGCGGAATGGAAGGCACTTCGATACCAAAGTACAATGTCGATCTTAAAAATGTTGTAGATGCACGTGGCACACAGAGCCGCACCTGCCAAGGTGAGAAGTCCTCCTATCACATAAGCTTGCAAATTTGGAGCTAGAAAGGACAGCAAAAATAAATTTATTAATAATAATCATAAGACAAGGTCAATTATACACTTTTGTTGCATAGATCCCATTGCAAATGCTGAGTGGAAATGTACTGATGTCAGTGAGGTGACTTCTTAAGTATTTCTTTACAGTTAGATATTAGCTATGTGAGTAGAATAATCTGGTCTGGACTATGAATTTTAGGGAGCAAATGTGCTCTTGGGAACCTGGGGAGGGACATTCTGCAGAATGGTCAATGCAATGTGGCTGCACTTGCATGAGGACTGCTTTTGAAACACACCTGTCCACGGCCTACTTAGCCAGCACCAGACTCTCCAGGGCTGAAGCCCAAGCACGTTTATTGGGAAGGTTCCCCAGGTGGTTCTGCTGCACATCCTTGATTAAAATACTGTTATAATTGCTTTCCCAGTTACTCACAATTGAGCAGCAGGATACCTGTCATAAATAAAGAGCCATCGGTTGCCTCCTGACAGCCACCTCTGCTGGCTCCATAAGACCACCTCATCCTCTGCACCAGCCACGTCCGGGCTGGGTACCTGCCTGCAAGACACAGTCTGAGAAAGGGTGTTGACCCCGTGCTCTGCTTTGTGAGCTCATTGCAGAGCAATTATAGCAAAGGCAGTGTGCAAGGGATGACCAGGGCACAGAACTGGTTCCTCTGGAACTCCAGGTCCCTGAAAACATGCTCCTACACATCCAAGAAGAGGAACAGATGCCTTTCTTCCTTACCACAGCCCAAGCCTGTGCTGCCAAAGAGGGAGGCTCTAGGAAGGAGAGAATTCAAAAAGGGGAAGAAGGAGAGAGGAAGAGAAATCCTTCCCATTCTTAGAATCCACCACACATACCACTTCCTTCAACAGCCACCTACCCCATCATCAGTCCCCACCAGAGGGGGAGGCAGAAGGGGAAATTGATTTTGCTTGAACACCCAGAACACTCTCATTTTAAAAAACACTCATTAAAGATCTTATCACCTGGCTCAGGCCACATGATGTTGCAAAGACATCCCTGTATACTACCGTCTGCCTTCTCATACATGGCACGGTAAAGCACAGTAACTAAAGACCCATTCTGTACAAAAAATATCAATCCATGATGAAGTTTCCGGCAGCCAGTGGATCTGCTCTGTGTGCCGGCGCCCAATCCAATACAAACCACTTGTTTGAACCTCTAGTTTCTATTAGATGGAGTCTCCCCCCACTCCACCCCCATCCTGCCCTTCTCTTTGCCCTTTGCCAGCTCGTGGAGCAACAGTGCCACCTCTCCCTTTGGGAGGACCTGTGGCTGGGAACCTTACAGCATACTTCAGAGATCTTGATATTATAATAAATAATTGTGATAAGAAGATCATGTTCACAATACTTAGGAGATTTTAAAAGCCCCTGGTAATTAGACAGGAATGATGGCCTGAAATTCTTGAGTCGATCAGTCATTGCATTCAGGAGTGCTGATAACCTCTGCTCTGCAAATGAGCTAAAAGACAATGAAATTTGAAACAGGAAATTAATGAGTAAGTTCGAAGGGAGCATAGGCTTTGAAACTGAGATAGTGTGGGCTCACTGTTGAGACACCAGGTGCCTGCTGTCGGCTGTGTTAAAGGTGGTATTCACCATTTGGGTCCACGTGGCTTCCAACAGCCTTAAACTGAGATGGCGCTGAGAGCAAGTAATTAAAAGAAATTCATAGAAAGGTGCACCCAATCTAGACAACTTGGAGGTGGCTCCAGACAAGCCAAATAAGATTCAAATCTGGAGATGTCTTCATCAAAAATAAGGAAGTCCAAAGGGGAAGCTGTAACCTTACCTCTGGCCCCAAGTAACCCACCAAGTGGCTAGGATTTAAGACAGTCATAGTCTTAGGAACTTAGGAAAAACAAAGAGCACAAGTCCAAAAATATATAGCACGTGAGATGTGAAATAAGTGTCGATAGGAACACAGATGAATTTAATAAGCACAGGTTTCTTAGCTGACCTAAAACAAGAGAAACCAACAACCTCTTCCTTGTCCCACATGACCAGCAGGTGTTAACTGATAGTAGCATTAGTTCCTCTGACTCTGGACTTTGCTTCAGAATCCTTCTGAATTCAGGGCTTCCAGATAGTCAGCACCTGTAAGTCAATCATTAGCAAGGATGGACCAGTCATCTTCAGTCTAAGTTACTAGACACAGAACTCAAACTTCTAGGTTGAGACAGATTTTCATTATAACTACTCAGGTTTTATGCAGTCTCCACGGCTTCTGTGGATAAAGTGAAGGTTCCTGTGGCCAGGATTCTCACCTGGCTCTGGTCAGCTAGCTCACTACACACATGTGGGCAATACATTGTTATTGACTCTATATAAAAAGCTCTGTCTAGTGGTCTGGATGACATGGTGGTACAGCTGCAAGGCTGCAGGAGAGCAGAGACAAGACTGCAGTGGTGGCAGCACCAAGGACAGAGACTGAGATGGCTACCAGGGTAGAAAGGCCCAGAGGCAGAGACCGGCTTGTTGCATGCAGACTTGCTCTGAGTCGGCAGGATTCTAGTGACTGACCTGCCACCCTGGAAATAAAGTTGGGTATAACCCTTTCACCCCAAGAATGTTCTACTGGCATTTCTTTGGTCACACTGAATCCATAGTGAGCTTGCCCAGGGCTGAAACCCATTGGCAAGACAGCTTCCTACAGTCAGCTTTCCCTCTTTTCTCCGAGGTGGACCCTAAGATACTCTCTCCAGCTGTTTTATTCCTAATGACATATCCCAGAGGAAAGCTTCTACATGAATACCAGGACACTCATACAGAGATTCCATTGCAGCACTGTTTGTTCAGAGTCCCAAATTGGAAGACTCAAGTGACCACATATTTAGAGTAGAATGATAACTGTGGCCTAAGTATTCAGTGGACTAGGATTCGACAATAATGAGTGAACTGCAGTTCCATGCTACATCACTAATGCATCAGTGAACCCCATACACCTAAGAAACGAAGCAAGACATAAAGAAAATATACTGTATAGTTGATTTTATAGAAAGTTCAAAATCAGTCCAGTTGACAGGTAGAAATGCAGGGCTGCCCCCTGGAGAGGGAAAATATGTCTGGAGGTGCAGAATGTACTTGCACCTGCTCAGAGATGACAGGTAAAGTCATGAGAGTGAGGAAGGTTGGTTATCAGGGATAAGAGAGCAGAAAGAGCGGCCCTGATGACCACATCTCAAGGCCACCCAAGGTGGCAGCAGGAGAGATAGATGTGCAAGACTAACTGGGGAGAAAGTGAGAGTGATTTTTCAGGACAAGGAAAAGCCACTGAGGAGGAGAAATGGACAGTGGTGGCTGATGGGCACAAGGCTCCTTCCACCTAACTCAAGTCAAGAGGACTCTCTGTGGGTCCAGAGCAAGGAAAGGACATACTGTGTGCTCACTCACAGGGAAGGCGGCTGGGGACAGACTGACCTTGGCCTCCAGGTCATGGAAGTGAGGGAGAGAATAAGCTCTCCTCGGGACTGCAGGCTGCTCTGGACATACACTATTGATCACTATTGGAAGGGAGGCGATGGACACTCAGGAAGGGGGTCAGGAACTTGGCAGGGGCCAAGGCAAATTTGCCAGCTCCACACAGCAACCACTGAACTACTGTTTTATGGCACATTCTAGAAAAACATTTCTGGTAGGACTTGAGCTAAATGCATGTAAATGCATTCCCAAATCTCCAAATTCATGAATACCATAATATATAATGTCTTCCATTATATTTAACTGATCATTAAGGGCACTGGAAAGTTCAAGCTCTCTCTCTTGCATTTAGCTAGCCAAAAACAAAATAAAAATAAGAAGTTGATATTACTAGAATAAGGGAAGAAAAAGCCGTATTGGTGAACCACACATCAACACCTGACAAGGTACTGTAAACACATCCCCTAATAGGCTAAGCATTTAAAATTGTTCTCAAAACTACGATTTCATCCTTCATTATCTACTCTCTGGCTTTATTACCTCCAATGGATGAATAATCAGCACACTCTGTACAGTAAGTGTGCCACTGGAGGGCACACATGGAGTCTGAGGTCCTCCTGTTCAGATAGCAGAATTCAGCCTCCATGGATAATTTTACAAAATTACATGATCAAATATACATCAGCATTATTTTCACATCAGATTATTTATAACAAACAGCCTAAAACCTGAAAATCATAAGTATATAATTATAAAAGTTGAGCTTTTGGGTTTAAAAAAAGGAAAACTTCTGCTTTCTAGAATTTAGTATAATTTCAATGCATAAAGTCTCCATGTACATTCATCTGGCACTTTCCAAGTACGCTGCAAGGACCTCAGGGTCTTACTCCGAGAGCATCATTAGACACTGCATCAGCTCTCTCTAGATTCCACATTGAGTTTCTCCATTTAAATCCACCCTGCTGCTTCATACTTCAGTGCCACTCCTCTTTTGTATGTGTTTCCTGGCCATCATTTTGAACACCAGAAGAGTGTGGAACCCCCTGGAGCAGCACCTGGCAGCTTTAATATAAAGTGAGCAGCAGACACTCCAGCATGGCATGTGAAAGGACGGCCGTAATCTTCCATTTTCACTTCTGAGAAGGTTATGTTCATCGTGTAAAAATTATGTCTGGGAAAAGAAATGTGGGTTCTGTAAAAGAAAAGAGCCACGCATTAATATGAGTCATAGTTAACTAACACATTTTGTACTCTCTAGTCTGGAGAATAAGGTTCTTTCCTGGAGAAAACTCCAGGCCACCATGTTACCCTAAGAAAGCTTCACCAAGCAGCCTGGGGAGGTGCATGGATTGCATAGTTCCAAATTTACGTTTTCTTCTGGACAGTGACAAGGCATGTGGTTCTGTTCATCACGGACACCATACTTGGCCCTAAAGGGCTTTCCCGAATTCTTCTCCACTTATCCTGACTTATCCACACTGTCCTCAGACTTGTTTTACACCACTAAATTTATACCACCATCAAGTGGGTTTGTACACTCAGTTACATTCAAAGATTATGCACTGTCTCCCGCAGGAGTCCCTGTATGTTGTCTGTTGTGCTATTTAGGCCTTAAAAGCTATGGTCCATGACATGACTAAATCAGAATGAGACTGGTTTTAAGTGGCAGCTTGACCTTGCTGCCTGAAGGACATACTTCAGGTTTTGCCTCATCTGTCCAACTAGGACTTCTTTGAACTGGATGCTTGGCCAGGCAGAGCACTGAGAAGATCTTTGAAGGATAAGCCAAAGGAGGGGAGAAGGAGGCAATGAGAACCATCTAGAAAAAGCAGTGCTGGCACCAAAATAATTTGAATGAAGAAATTCTTGCTTGCTTTTAGGTCAGCCAGCAAAACAAAGCACCTACTCAATTCCTTCTCTGATCCTTTTGGATTCTCCATAGTAGATATCCACCAGGGTGTTATTGACTGTCCAGCACCGCAGGTTCGTGTTCTCCCGTGTGTCTGTAATATTGCAGTCCACAATAAGAGTGGCGCCTACAGAAATCAAGTTCATAAACAGCAAATGAAAACTCTACCAAAACGACCTGCTTAACAAATACACCTTGCTTTTGAGCACTGTATTTTGATTGCCAAATATATACACCCCACTCCCCACCCCACCAAGTGGAGTCAGTAGCAATCTACTTTATTCTCTCCCTGGACAGAGCTCATAAGGGACAACTGACTGTCCAGAATGCCCATTGTAAAGAGATAGGCATATGCTGCCAAATGTCACCAGCTTCAGACCAATGTTTTCCACAATATCAGGGACACAAATAATACTTCTATTATTAGTAACCTTGGCAAAGAACTTTTCAAAGTATTCTACACACATTTTCTCCCTGTGGCTTCATTATCTTCAAAACTATGCTACAAGGAAGAAAAGGGATGGGGGTGCCTTATCCCCATTTTGCAATGAGAGCATTGAACTTCAGATAGGTTCTGAGACTTAGCCAGAGTCACACTTGGAAAGAATGAAACATGGACTCTCGTTTCTAACTTTAAACCCAGTGATATTTCTACCTCGCCAGCTGTGGCCCCTACGCTTTACCCTCTACTGCCCCTTGTCCTGCCTCCACACACATTCACAAGTAATAGTTAGTAAATGTACATTTTCACCTTATTTTGCCCCAGGAGCCTAATGAAGTTTATCTATTTACCACATGTAAAAAAGTTACTGTACTTCGAAACAGCCTGTATCAAGCTTATTTATTCTAGCCACTGCTAATTTTTTAAATAATTATTTTGTGAAATGTAACACATATACAGTAAAAAGTACGGAATATTAAGTTACTGAATTATTATAAGCAAATATCTATATCCCCTTCACCCATTTAGAAGATAGTATATTGCCAAAACCCCAGAAGCCTCCCACATGCCTCCTGCCAACTTGATATTTTATCTCTGATATCTTCACCCCTGAATGCTAGCTTCTGTTGGCCAACATTCTGTTTGTATGTTCATAGATGCTCTGCATGTAGCTATACTTCATGCAGATGATGGAATATACTAGTTCTTCCTCATTTCTTCTACTGTTGCTATATGTGCATTTGCATTGTTTCTAGTATTTGCCTTGTATGTCTAAGGCTGCTGCGAACTCCCCTCTGAGTGCCTCCAGGGGCACATGTGCACATGTTCCACATATACACATGATAACATATTAAAACACAGTGTTCTAAACATTCTCTCCTAGTCTGTCATTCATGTTTTAATATTACCATTTTTCATACATACACATTTTTTATATTAGTCTAGACATTTACATTTTTTATATTAGTCTAATTTTTTTAATCTTTCTTGGTTTCTTCCAGTGATTTTATGTTTAGAAAATAAATCATTCTGAGGGTTGATAAAAATTTACCTGTATTTTTTAATGGCACTTTTGTAGTTTTATTTTTGTTTGAATTTATTTAATTCATCAAAAATGTATTTGTGTATAGATAAGCCTCTAGCCAAACTTATTAAGAGAAAAAGAGAATCAACACAAATCAACAAAATCACAAATGAGAATGGAAAAATCACGACAGACTCCACAGAAATACAAAGAATTATTAAAGACTACTATGAAAACCTATATGCCAACAAGCTGGAAAACCTAGAAGAAATGGACAACTTCCTAGAAAAATACAACCTCCCAAGACTGACCAAGGAAGAAACACAAAAGTTAAACAAACCAATTATGAGCAAAGAAATTGAAACGGTAATCAAAAAACTACCCAAGAACAAAACCCCGGGGCCGGATGGATTTACCTCGGAATTTTATCAGACACACAGAGAAGACATAATACCCATTCTCCTTAAAGTGTTCCAAAAAATAGAAGAGGAGGGAATACTCCCAAACTCATTCTATGAAGCCAACATCACCCTAATACCAAAACCAGGCAAAGACCCCACCAAAAAAGAAAATTACAGACCAATATCCCTGATGAATGTAGATGCAAAAATACTCAATAAAATATTAGCAAACAGAATTCAACAGTATATCAAAAGGATCATACACCATGACCAAGTGGGATTCATCCCAGGGATGCAAGGATGGTACAACATTCGAAAATCCATCAACATCATCCACCACATCAACAAAAAGAAAGACAAAAACCACATGATCATCTCCATAGATGCTGAAAAAGCATTTGACAAAATTCAACATCCATTCATGATAAAAACTCTCAGCAAAATGGGAATAGAGGGCAAGTACCTCAACATAATAAAGGCCATATATGATAAACCCACAGCCAGCATTATACTGAACAGCGAGAAGCTGAAAGCATTTCCACTGAGATCGGGAACCAGACAGGGATGCCCACTCTCCCCACTGTTATTTAACATAGTACTGGAGGTCCTAGCCACGGCAATCAGACAAAACAAAGAAATACAAGGAATCCAGATTGGTAAAGAAGAAGTTAAACTGTCACTATTTGCAGATGATATGATACTGTACATAAAAAACCCTAAAGACTCCACTCCAAAACTACTAGAACTGATATCGGAATACAGCAAAGTTGCAGGATACAAAATCAACACACAGAAATCTGTAGCTTTCCTATACACTAACAACGAATCAATAGAAAGAGAAATCAGGAAAACAATTCCATTCACCATTGCATCAAAAAGAATAAAATACCTAGGAATAAACCTAACCAAGGAAGTGAAAGACTTATACTCTGAAAACTACAAGTCACTCTTAAGAGAAATTAAAGGGGACACTAATAAATGGAAACTCATCCCATGCTCATGGCTAGGAAGAATTAATATCGTCAAAATGGCCATCCTGCCCAAAGCAATATACAGATTTGATGCAATCCCTCTCAAATTACCAGCAACATTCTTCAATGAATTGGAACAAATAATTCAAAAATTCATATGGAAACACCAAAGACCCCGAATAGCCAAAGCAATCCTGAAAAAGAAGAATAAAGTAGGGGGGATCTCACTCCCCAACTTCAAGCTCTACTACAAAGCCATAGTAATCAAGACAATTTGGTACTGGCACAAGAACAGAGCCACAGACCAGTGGAACAGATTAGAGACCCCAGAAATTAACCCAAACATATATGGTCAATTAATATTTGATAAAGGAGCCATGGACATACAATGGCAAAATGACAGTCTCTTCAACAGATGGTGCTGGCAAAACTGGACAGCTACATGTAGGAGAATGAAACTGGACCATTGTCTAACCCCATATACAAAGGTAAACTCAAAATGGATCAAAGACCTGAATGTAAGTCACGAAACCATTAAACTCTTGGAAAAAAACATAGGCAAAAACCTCTTAGACATAAACATGAGTGATCTCTTCTTGAACATATCTCCCCGGGCAAGGAAAACAACAGCAAAAATGAGCAAGTGGGACTACATTAAGCTGAAAAGCTTCTGTACAGCGAAAGACACCATCAATAGAACAAAAAGGAACCCTACAGTATGGGAGAATATATTTGAAAATGACAGATCTGATAAAGGCTTGACGTCCAGAATATATAAAGAGCTCACACGCCTCAACAAACAAAAAACAAATAACCCAATTAAAAAATGGGCAGAGGAACTGAACAGACAGTTCTCCAAAAAAGAAATACAGATGGCCAAGAGACACATGAAAAGATGCTCCACATCGCTAATTATCAGAGAAATGCAAATTAAAACTACAATGAGGTATCACCTCACACCAGTAAGGATAGCTGCCATCCAAAAGACAAACAACAACAAATGTTGGCGAGGCTGTGGAGAAAGGGGAACCCTCCTACACTGCTGGTGGGAATGTAAATTAGTTCAACCATTGTGGAAAGCAGTATGGAGGTGCATCAAAATGCTCAAAACAGACCTACCATTTGACCCAGGAATTCCACTCCTAGGAATTTACCCTAAGAACGCAGCAATCAAGTTTGAGAAAGACAGATGCACTCCTATGTTTATCGCAGCACTATTTACAATAGCCAAGAATTGGAAGCAACCTAAATGTCCATCGGTAGATGAATGGATAAAGAAGATGTGGTACATATACACAATGGAATACTACTCAGCCATAAGAAGTGGAAAAATCCAACCATTTGCAGCAACATGGATGGAGCTGGAGAGTATTATGCTCAGTGAAATAAGCCAAGCGGAGAAAGAGAAATACCAAATGATTTCACTCATCTGAGGAGTATAGGAACAAAGGAAAAACTGAAGGAACAAAACAGCAGCAGAATTACAGAACCCAAAAATGGACTAACAGGTACCAAAGGGAAAGGAACTGGGGAGGATGGGTGGGCAGGGAGGGATAAGGGGGGGGAAGAAGAAGGGGGGTATTAAGATTAGCATGCATGGGGGGGAGGGAGAAAGGGGAGGGTGGGCTGCACAACACAGAGAGGACAAGTAGTGACTCTACAACATTTTGCTAAGCTGATGGACAGTAACCGTAATGTGGTTGTTAGGGGGGACCTGATATAGGGGAGAGCATAGTAAACATAGTATTCTTCAGGTAAGTGTAGATTAAAAATTTAAAAAAAAAAAAGAAAGAAAGAAAGAAAAGGGGGATTACTCCTTAACAGGATAAAACTATTGGTAAATCAAAGATCAACGCATGCTTTAAATATCCTTAATGTTGATCACTTAAAGGGTGTCAGATGATCAGCTATGGAGGTACTCTTTTCTGATAATATTCCTTTCTCTTAATTAAAAAAAAAAAAAAAAAGCAGTTACTGTGTGCTGACCTCCAATGAGTTCTGCACAGTGGTATAGAGGGCATGTCAAAGTGTGGGCAAAGGGTCTGTTTGTTTCTACGCAGAAGATCAAGGCCTAGCTTGGATACCCAGAAAATGAACTAAGATACGATATGAGGAGGAGCTTCCGGCATCAGCACTCTCTGGAGGACTCGTGCCGGGGGATGATCATCAAAAAGCCTCCACAGGGATCCGGACGATGCTGCGGTTGTGGCTGCATCCAGCCCACCGTCTCCTGGACTTGCCATAAGAAGGAGGAGGGAGATGTCTAGGCTGGCATGTGCATACAGTGAGACAACGAATTTGACTGGATCTGTACTGTTGGAACTCAACCAGGAGTTGGGAGGGGTGCAAGTTGTAGCACCCCAAAATCTCATGACTATAGACTATCTATGGTTAAAAGAACATATGGGATGTGAACAGATCCCAGAAATGGGCTGCTTTAATTTGTCTGATGGTTCAAGTACAGTTGGAAAATATCCATCATATCATAGATAAATTTTCACAAATGCCTAGGGTGCCTAAATGGTTTTCTTGGCTTCACTGGAGATGGCTGGTAATTATAGATTTGCTTTGTTTATGTCACCGTATTCCTATTATGTTAATATGTGTGTGCAAATTAGTTAGTAGTTTAAAACCTATACATACTTAAGGTACTATACAAGAAGATATGTCAAAGAAATAATCAATCCTCCCAAGTTTCCTTCATATGCTACATCTATAGCTTTTCTTCTTCCTTCCTAATTACAACCCTTAAATAGAATTCGTGCCTCATATCGAATTTACCGAGTATCATAATTCCTCCAGGTGGTAAAGATACCTCGAGACAAGTGCTGGGCATAGAAGCCACAGGGCATAAATCTGCAAAGAAGTAAAAAGCTAACCTTTGCAAACAATATGGCTTCTCTCTCACTTACCAACTTTACATTTCCCTGTATGGCCCCGGAAGATGACTGGTTAGCCAGAGACGGGTAAGATTCCTCAAGGGAGGAACAACCTAAGACAGGCACAGTCGCAGGGGGGCCATCAGGTGAGAATTTGGGGATCAACAGAGGTGAGGCTCAGAACCTCACCCCCCCTGCTTTGAGAGAAATCTTCTGCATCCGTGGATGTCTTGCTGCCCTTGTCTAGCCTGGATTAATACTTAGTCCATAGGCACACACCTGATCATCTGATCATCTACATTTGCCCTCTTACAGCACTAAACTATGTTTTCTACCTTTATCTTGCATCTACCTACCACTTCAGCATTTTATTAAAAATAAAAATAATAATAATAATAGGAGAAATGTGGGATCAACATATAAATCAAGTACAAAAATCAAACGAATATTCATATTTGACCTGATTGTTTATAGTTCATATTGCGTGATCAAAACCGAAAGTTTCTGTGATGAATGCCCTTGTACTGTTCACCATGTAAGAACTTATTCACTATGTAAAAATTTGTTCACCATGTAAGAACTTGTTCGTTATGCTTCAGAAGATTGGAGACTGACGAGAATTAGGCTTGAGATGGATTAATGATTGTGCATTGAGCATTGACTCCCCTATACAGAATTTTATTGTTGTTAACAACCATTTGATCAATAAACATGAGATGGCCTCTCAAAAAAAAATGTATTTTTGTATCTGACATGAAGTGAAGAATAAACTGTATGTTCTTCAAACTTAATGAGTTTATACTAACATCACACATGTAGTATATCTCACATTCTGTATACATTTTTAAATGCCACAAATCTCTTTTACTAGATTCCTGTATATTCTAGCATGTTTATATTATTTTTGTTATGTTGCTCAGATCTATGTATTTCTATGCAAATATCAATATTTACTTATGTAGCTTTATAATATACATTAATATTTATCAGAAAAGTTCTTTTTTTTCTTCTTTTCAACTGTTTCTCTGCTAAGTCTTTCCAGCATTTTTTGACATGAATTTTTGAAATGCTTTGTCAAGTTTCAGGACATTCAGTTAAATTTAATTGGTATTATATTAAATTTGTTTATTAATTTGCCCTTAGTGATTTCAACAGCTTCAGTAACTTTACTCACCAAGTTGTACTTCAATTGAGTTGTTTTTTGGATAAACGATTTCAGGGATTCTTCCTATATATTGTAATTTTTCTGCTAAGAAATCACACCCACATGAAATTGCATTAGAACCACACATGACACATTCCCAGCTACTGTAATGCAATAATAGCAAATATAATGCAATAATGGCAATAACAGCAAAAGGAAACAAGACAGAGCAGACATTCAATAAATATTAAGTATTGGTTGAGAAAAAGCACCACTCATGGTGTAATGAACTATCACTCCATAAATGTGTATGATTAAATTGCTAAGGAGAAAACCAAAAAACTGGGCAGCCAAGAAGAGCTCACTTCACCATTATCTATTTGGTGTAAATATAAACTGATAAGACCATGTGGTAAAATTTCAGTACCTAATAATCCAAATACACTTGTTGAGCACAGGCTATAGGCAAAGCTCTGGCCTAGGCCTCATAGAGGGAGAAAGACGGACCCTGATGTCCAACCCGCTGCCTGGTCCCCCAGCCCTGATTTCCATGCTCTCTGCATCGGGCCTCTCTCTCACCCTCCAGCTGTCTGACTCCTCCCCCTGACCTGACAACTGTTTCCCTGGTATTGACCCCCATCCCTCATCTCCACTTCCTGCCTTCCCCTCGTGTCCACCAAAACTGAGCAGTCGCCTACGTAGTCCCACATTCCCCCCATGTTTGGGGTCAGATGTGGGAGAGTGACCAGCAGAGTGAGGAAAATGCAAAAATCACACGTTCTTTATGATGACAACAGTATTTGCACATTCTACAGACTATTCAAATGCAGCCTCTCACAAACAGAAGCCATCACCAGCTAACACACCACCTTCCACAAGACCGCACACATCTAAAATCTGGAAGTTATGCTAGGCGACAGCTTTTTCCTCACCCTCTTCAAAGCATCAATGATCAAGTCAAGCTCATTTTACCTCCTCACATCTCTGAGTCTGTGCCTCATTCCTTACTCCTTAACCCTCCACTGTCTACACTCTCTCTATCCCCAGGTACTGTCATCCACATCCACCTCTTTCACTACCATAAAGGCCAGTGATGCTGACAACCCTATCTCCAGAACTTTTTCTATGCTCCTGACCCATGTAGCCTGCCGAACGTATCTGCCTGGACAAAGCACTCAACTTACCCATGACCAAACTCATGATCTACTCCTAAATCCGGTTTTCCTCTAGTGTTACCTTATCTCAATGAATAGTCTGACCATCAGGTCAGTTGCATATGCCCAAAGCCTTAGCTTCCTTGACCTTGTCCCCTCCCTCACTCTGTATGCAATCCAACACCGAGACCTATGGGCTTTGCCTCCTAAAATGCCTCGAACTCATGCACACTTCTCAATCACCAATGCCACCAGGCTGTCTGTGCCTCCCTGATGTCACAGCTGCACCTGCCCTAATGGTCACTCCTACCTCTGCTGGGATCCTTCTGTCCACAGCAATCACGCTGAGCTTGCAGAAATGTGAGTCACACCATGCCACTCACCTGCTCTCAAGCCCTCTGGCTCCTCACCATCATTCTTAGAATAAAATCTACACTCCCTGCTTTGCATTGCAGCCTCCTGCCTTATCTGGCCCTGACTACTTCTCCAACCTCGTGACCTACCACCATCTCCCTCACTCAGCATTGCCCACCTGCCTACTTCCCACCCATCAGGCGTCACAGGCTGTTCACCTCTGCTGCTCTCTGAGTCTGGAAACATCTCTCCCATTCCACCACTGAGTCAATGCTTGACTATCATCAGAGAGCTTTCCCTGACCCCCTGCCTTTTCAATAGGTCCTTACCAGTTTGATCCATATTTTCCTCTTCTTCACTGTATTAGCCTCCTTAGCAGGTACCCCCATCTCATTAGGGGATTATCTGTGTTGACTCTGCCTCCTCTCCCTGCTCAGACTTCCAAGCTCCATCAGAGCAGGCTGTTCTCCTCACCCTTGTGTCCTCCCTGCCTGGCACAGGACGGGTCCCTGTTAGGCACTTAGTAAAAAGTCATTAAATCATTGCCTGGCTCCCCTGGCTCCTCCAGCCAGCTTCAGTCATCAGCAAGCTTCTAGATATTGCATCTGCAGCCTAAATGGTCTCCAGAACTCATGACTCCCATCCATTCCTGCACAAACCTTCTCAAGACTGATCTCACCCATCACAAATGCAGCCTCGTCGCTCTGTGCGTGCATGCATCCAAGGGCTCGTGGGTGGCGGCATGGGAGAGCCTGCATACACCGCCCACCTTGACCTTGCCCCAGTTTAGCTCTATGGCCTCATCCAAAAATTTCTAAGTATCCCCCAGTGTCATGAAGTCTGGCAGAAATTATGTGTGACACAGTGACAAGCAGAAAGATCCAAGTCAGAGAAATACGCAGGTTTCTGTTCTTTCCGATTAGTTGAGCATGAGCAAATACATAAAAATGAGTTTAAAAGAAAAAAATGCTTGTCTGGGCCCTGTTTCCAGCTTTCTAAGCTTCAATAAGTCACTCTCTTCCTGGGTCTCTAACAAGTTAATTGTTCAAGCTAAATTGTTTTTAGAGTTTCTTCTACCCCCAAGATTCTGCTTTCAAATCTCCAGGTTATACACTCAAGACCATTGGCATACCTGGGGTGAGCACTGAAATTCTATGAGCATTCAGCTCTCCTGGAAGAGGTCCAGAGACCTTGAATTCTGTAGCACCTGTGGCAGGGTAGGCCAAAGCTGGCATGGCCCACCAAAATCCACCCCAGGGAAGGCAACAATACCATCTACCATTTACTTTGCCAGGCACCCCAAAAGTCCTCTGTATACATGGTCTCACTTAACTTTTGCAAATAAACCAAGAGTTTTGAAGAATTCTGCTTTTTCAGATAAGAAAACCAAACTGCTCATGTCCTTCTGCCTCACTCTTTCTACCCGCTGATTCTAATCGTGACAAGTTGGGGAGCCTGCTCACATTCAGGAAAATCAAGATGGAGAAGCCCTTTTGCCCACAGCTAGCCATCTCCTGCAAAGCTGAGAGGGAGTCAGGCCAAGGTGCGAGCTTACTTACAGATGTTCACGGCGATGCTGTTGACAACAATGTACTGCTTCCCCGTGCTGTGTGTCAGGGTGGCTTGACAGGCATAGCTGCCTTTGTCCTCTGTGGAAACATTGTTCACTAAAAGCTTTGTTTTCCAAGAAGTAAACCGCTCTCCTTTAATCTCTTTACAGTCCTAATAAAAAAAAATCAATTAAACTCCAAGTCTTTTGGGGTACCCATTACATTCCCAATCAGCATCATCCTGTAACCTGTGGGAAGATACAAAAAACTCTATGTGATCCCTAGACCTTAAGTAATTTATAATTTAGAACTGAAGACTATATATGTGTATATATATATATATATATATATATATATATATATATATATATGAGA